TCAGAGTAGCAGCAAAAGGAGTCACCGTCCTGGGGAGACCTCCCAGAAAGTGCAAAGAAAACCCATAACACACAGGGCCCACAGGAGGTGAGAGTCCTTAGCGGGCGGGGCATGAAGACCCTGGGGTGTGGGGTCATGAAAACAAGGACAAAATGCACCAGGAGGGGCCAGAGGGGCCAGAGGGGCCATCTGTGCAGAATCAGAGCCGGGGCAGGGCAGGCGGAGGCGCTGAGCTCCTGTGGGAGGGGTCTGCCCGGAGCTGCTGATCATCACACGGGCGGGAAGACCCAAGGACCCAAGGCCAGGGGACGGCAGAAGGGACACCGCTAATGAGATCAGTGTCCAAGACGAGGGGTGGGGACGAAGCCAGCAGAGGGACATGAAGACACAGTGACCCACACGCTCCCCAATTTGGTGGCGACTACAGACCCACAGGTCTGAGGAGCCCCGTGAACCCAGAGCACAAGACTTGCAAAGGAGACCGCGCCAGGACACGTGGCCAGGACACGTGGCCAGGACACGTGGCCGTGTCCACACCTGCCACCAGAGAGCACTGAGCACTGAGCCAGGGGTGGAGCTCGGCAGCCGAGCAGCCGCTGGGCAGATGTGGGGCCCTGGGAGTGATCCCCAGGGGCAGAGAGAGAACCGCAAACAGACCAGGGTAGCTCTGCAGTCCCCGACACCGAGTCCCTATCGTGAGTCACACGTGAACTCACTGTTGTCGTGGTGACAGGTGGCGTAACAGATGCCCGTATCCCACTGGGATTTGGGAAAAGAAGTTCCGGGTGGGCTCAGAGACTAGGACAGGTGGTTCATGGTTTGGGGACTGGAAGCTGGGTGGCGCAGGGCCAGGGTAGGTTTCCTCCGGTGTCAGAACCGGGTCAGTGACACCTGTCCCCGAGGTGAATGSGCCTTTTCTGAACCCACAGGGACACACGGAGCAGGGGAAGTGGCCGGGGCTGCTCTGGGCCCGGGTTTCTTTGGGGATGGTGATCCTGTTGGGGAGTTAGTGGCGTTGGTGCCCCGACTCTGTGAATGCGCCCAAACCCACTGGATTGAGCACTTCAAAGGGGCAAAGCTGGCGGTGTGAGACTCATAACTCCGTAGAGAACAGATTAGTTAAACAAGAAAAAAGCAGTGCCTGTCATCGGGAAAACTAGCAGAGAACGAACTGTTTGAGCACTTCACACAGGTCATCGCAGGGTCTACCTGGACCTCCTGAACCCCACTCCGCAGGAGTCCCAAGGTGGGACACCCRGCCACACCCTGCAAAGGCTCCGAGACGCTCTCCTTTAACTTCAGGCCACACACGCTCATCGGATGTTATTTGATGCATTGGACCATGTCCTTCTGCGACCCCTTTATTTCTCCGTGGAGCGTCTGTCAGCACTAGAGCTGGGGAGCACAGACAGAGCATTTGTGGCTGTGACTTGTCCAACGTCACCCAGCTCGTCAGTGCCAGCCACGGTGCTGAATTTCACAAACCCCGCACAGAGAACCCGCCGACCCGGCCTTGGAAGCTCGAGCTGAGATGGCTGGCTACAAGCCTTCCCTGAACTCTAAACCTGCTGTGCCCATCCTGAGTCCCTGTCCCAGGCTGCTCCTGAATGGCCGCTGGGGTTCTGAGCTTTGGTAAAGAYAAGAGGAATCTCTTTTAAACTTTGTGGTCGTTTCTGCCAGGAGCAGTGTGCTGTCAGGAGAAGCCGAGAGGAAACTATAAGGACCAGGAAAGCATCGGCCAGCCGTGCGGAGGCTGCGAGGGCTGTGACCTTGGCTCCTTTACCTTTACTGTGCCCTGGTGGAGGGCAGGGCTGTCCGCCTGGATGCAGACCTCAGCCCACGCCTCACAGGACCACGGCTCTGCGGAACTTTCTGGAAGGTTTTGAGAGGAGCTGGAAGAACTCAGGGCRGCATCTGGCCTACCCAGSGCTTGCCCCTCCATCTTGGTGCCCYAGCCCACCCCCTGTGGAATGAGGGGCGGCCCCTACGTGTGTCCTTCCCACACCCGTGATTCTCATTACCAGGAAAATGGCTCAGGYCACCTGGAGGTCGGCGTTCCCAGTCCCTCCTCATTCCTAAAGCCACAAAACCACCCCCTCCAACGTCCACCCTCCAGAGTGCTCCGAGTTGATGCAGAATCGATTTCCCCTCGGGAACAAATCCAGGGGAAAGTTAAGGGGAAGCACATGGGCATGATGGGTGTGTGGGCATGTGGGCATGTGGGCATGTGGGTGTGGTGGGCATGTGGGCATGTGGGCATGTGCGTGGTGGGCATGTGGGCACGATGGGTGTGTGGGCATGTGGGCATGTGGG